GAGATTTGGGTGGGGACATAGAGCCAAACCATATCTATCTACCTCTATCTATTTATCTATCTATCTATCTATCTATCTATCTATCTATCTATCTATCTACCTATCTACCTACCTGTCTGTTTGTCTATCTATCCATTCATTTGTATATGAAGTTTTCACTTTCCTTTGTCTTTTTTTGCTTTAAATGTTAATTAACTATCATGTATTGACCACTGGTGCAAGGCAGTGTTTTAGATACTTTTCTTGTACTAGTTCATTTAATACTCTCCCAAACACCAGATAGATAAATTCTTATTCCCATTTCACAAATGAGGATACAGAGACATTAAATAACTTGTCCTAGGTCACAGTCAGTGGAAATTGGAAGCAGAATTGGTTCAATCACACTAACTTCAAAACCTAGATTCTTACTACTGTGGCAAACTGGCTTCTATGGACTTGTTAATCTACACATTATTCTATACCTCACTTAATCATATAGAAATTTTTTTGAGATTGTTGTGTGTAAGTACATATAGGGTTTTTTATTATTTTCAATGAATATAAATACTTGGTTGAATTAATGTGTGTATATATATATATAATTTAACTAGTCCCTTATTGACAGACCTTCAGGTTATCTCAAAATTATGTCTCAAGATAATGTGTCAAAATATATTCAATATTTTGCATAAATGAAAAAAAGATTTTTATTGCATTCATGATAACTTACAAACAATATCACATTCAATATTCCATTATGTTGACTTATTAAATAAGACCAAAGAGTCAGTTTTACTGCTGAAGACACACTACCACAAACATTTAAATCCTGCATAATAGCACTGAAATTTAAAAGCAGAAACTGCTACAACCAAAAATAATTAACAAATATAATGACATTAGAAGATCTTACACAACCTTCTCAGTTACTTTCAGATAAAACATTCAAGGAATAACTAGGACATGGCTAATCTGAATGATAATTGATATGGTTTGGATGTTAGTGTCCTCCAAATCTCATGTTGAACTGACCTTCAGTATTGGAGGTGGGGCCTGATGAGAGGTATTGGATAATGGGGTGGATCCCTTATGAATGGCTTACCGCCATCATCTTGGTGGTAAATGAGTTCTCACTCGGTGATTTTATGTGAGATCTAGTTGTTTGAAGGAGTGTGGCACCTCCCCACTCTCTCTTTAACTCCCACTCTTTCCCTGTGACATGCTGGCCCCTCGTTGCCTTCTACTATGATTGTAAGCTTCCTGAGGTCTTCTCTAGAAGCTGAGCAGATGCTTGTACAGCCTGCAGACTGTGAGCCAATTAAACCTCTTCTCTTTATAAATTACCCACTCTCAGATATTCCTTTATAGCCTGAAATGGACTGACAAAATAACGAACCTTGTTTTAATAGATAATCATTAAACTTTATTCTACAGAAACAGCAAGTGCACTTTACGTTAAGTATCTCCTTGACCAGATACTAGACAATATTCTGAAGTGCATTCTATTAAAATTGAAAATTGATACTGAAAGTATAAGGAGAGAAAATCTGAATCATTTGGAAAACATTATTCTAAAAAATTCTTAAATATAGGAAAAACTCAAAATTTCTTGAATATAGAATATTTGGGAAACTATGAGATCTAGAGAAGCTGTACTTGAAGGAAAATTCACAGTATTTTAGAAAAGACAAATTATACATTATTATTCAACTCAAGAAATTGTGAAAGAAAGAAAAACATACCTATGCAAAGCAGTTAGAAGAATTAATGAGCATAAAAGCAAAAATAAATGAATTAATAAATAAAAAACACTAGCATCGAGAAACAAATGTAAGTATTGGCTGTTTGAATAAAATGGTTCTTTAAGAAACCATAAGGAAGAAAAATAGAAAAATAAGCAGGGAGATAAAGGGAGTCTGATCAAGTGAAAAGAGAGAAAATAAAAATGGAAAAAATAGGCATTATAAACTAGAAAAAATGGCAGATATCAGGATTCAATAAATTTATACAGATTTTTTATTGCATTTGTGATAATATTTCAAAACTTTGATGAATTGGATGAATATCTAGAAAAATAAAAATAACAAAAATTAATACTATGACAGAAATTATCAGGGTCCAGAAGATTCTCTTTTAAATTGTGCCTTAGTGTCCATAAAGTTTCAAAGTGAAGGCTTTTAAATCTTTATGGAACAAATTGTTCTTACACCATTGTATGTAAGACTGTAAAAATTTAACCTTTTCACAATTCCATGAAACGGACATTGTGTAGCATATAATAGACACATTTAATGTGCTATTATTTCAATATTTTAAAAAAATCTTCTGTTAAATTAATAATGCGCTTTATAATATGTAAAGTCATAGATGTTGAATATGTTATTCAATAGAGACTAATGTCAGAAAATAATTCTGTTCCCTTCCCCCATGACATGCACATTGAATGTCTGCAGCCTATAAACTTGTCTGCACAAAAGAAAGTTAATAATAGGTGTTTTACAAATGCATAAATTTCTCCCAATAGACCAGAAATCTCCTTAGGTCATGGATTGTGCCTTTTGCTTCTATTTTGCCCACCATTGTGTAAAAAAATAAAATTTGGACAAATAGAAGATAATGATACATACTTTTTAACATTTTTACAGACTGAGTGAGTATGAAGTGCAATTTCGTTACATGGATATGTTGGTGACAGTGACGTCTATGTGTTTAGTCTTACCATCAGCTGAATAGCGTACATTGCACCCAATAGGTAATTTTTCATCCCTCACCCCCATCATCCTCCCAGCTTCTGGACTCTCCAATGGCTGTGATTCCACTGTCTATAGCCATGTGTAAGCATTATTTAGCTAATACTTAAAATGAGAATATATGTTATTTGACTTTGTTTCTGACTTATTTCACTTTGATACACATGCTTTTGAGAGAATGAACAACAGTGGCAGTATAGCATAGTGAGTAAGAGCACAGGGTTTTTAGTCCCCAAAGCTGAGTTCTGAATTCTAGCCCTGCCACTATCTGGGGGACCTTGGACAAATTACACAGTTTATTCTAAGCTTTAGTTATTCATCTTTAAATGTGTGTGATAATAACCTAGAGGGAAGGTATTAAACATAAGGATTGAAATATATGATTATACATAGAAGGTATTTGGTACAGTGATGAGCTATAGTAAGAAATCCTTAAATGGGGATAGCGATGAACTGCCTTTACCATTTCAAATGTGCATCCCCCTAGATGGGAATCTCCATGTGGGAGGATGAGTCTATTTGTCTGGGTTGTTTTATCAGTTGTACTTACAGTAGTGGTTAGACTACAGCAGGCATTAAATAAATATCTGTTGAATGAATGAATCAATAAATTCCAGTGTTCACCAAGCATAATTTGCTTAGTGTGTCTTAAAATAACTCATGGTATGACGTTTTCATTATTGCAACACTGAGCAACATTTTATTCCTTCTATTGTTAATAAAAGATTGGTTTTAAGGATTTGATGATTTCATATTTATCTTTTATTAAGTGCCATACCTTTAGTTCTCCTGGCAGTTTTTCTTATTTTGTGTCATAAAGAAATTGTGTGTTGGAGAAATTTTTCTATCAATATTTTGTAGTAATAAAAGAAGCTGAATGAAATACACTGGAGACTGACAGAAAAAAATATACAGCCTAGCATCTGAGCTGTATGATTAATTTTTTTAAACACAAATTTATTCATTTAGTGTGTGCCTACATTCCATCTTCCATCACTCCATTCTAATAATGAGTTTCAAAGATGAAAATAATTATTTCACCAAAAAGATAATTTAGTGCAGGGCCTCTATGAGTTTTAAAAAGGCGTGAGCCATCATTCGCTTGAAATTACCATCAAATTCCTTCCATTTAATGGTCATTTAAGAAACTACTCTACCCACTCCCCTCCATTCATTCACGATGAATGTGAATGTGCACATCCAGGGAGAGCAACAATCAATTTAGCAGTTAATGCTCATTGTTTCCATTTCAAAGTGTTTACATTTTCCTTCTGCTTCTCCTAATGTGGCATTGTGAGATTTACTAAGGAAGTCACCACTCTCTCAGTATTGTGGCATATGTGAGCATTTCTTTGCTTATTCTTTGTGGAGGCATTTAGTTAGAATTTAACAGAAAAACAACCACTCGAAATATCTTTCCCCACCCCAGTGAACACAAAAAATTAATCATCTCAGAGAGTCTGTATTAAACCTGAGACAGTGCACAATGCAAATATGGCACAAAGTCTATCCTTACATTTATTTGCAAATGTGTACAGATATGCTTCATATAAATTAATCCTCCATTTCATTATAAGGGAGGAATTACGTCTTTGGTCAAAGGGTGTTGGTGGTGGGGAGCATTAATCTGATTTAGCGCAGCATGTGAAAAATTAATTGAAAGTCAGAACTCCATAGTGTTTATTATAAAGTAATTTCACACCAGCTCAGGATTAGCATGGTCACGGGTAACAATAGGTCATCACTATGTTAATTGAAAGACAGCATGCTTTGTAAAGAAAGAGACAGAAAGAGAAGGAGGGAGGGAGAAAGAGAGAGAAATTGATTTAGAGACACAGTATGTAATACAGGAATTGATGCTGGTTTGCGACAAATAGCATAGAAAGGACAGGACCCATTGAAAAACATAGCCTCTTGCAAAATCAAGTGGCTCTCCTTGGGTAGTCTAAGCAAATAGCGTTTCTGGTGACATGAAGCTCTGAAATACTCTGAGACTCCTATATTTAGAAATGTTTCTTAAGCTTCTGCACCTTTCAGAGCTGGCTGTCTTATAACTGAAGATGCCGACATGTTCTATGTTGGTTATGCTGGGGTCAGCAGAGGAGAGAAAAGGCCCAGACTTTTGGCCATTTGCTTTAAGTTCTCCTTATCTTTTGTTGTCTGAGGATACGGCTTGGCTCTCAGAGAATCTGAACTCTCACCTAGCAGGATTGGTGCAAGATTAGTGCAGTCAGCATTAGTGGTAAAGTGAGGGCATCTTTCATTCACCAACCTCAGGGTCAATAAAGCCAATGCCAGTGGACAAGTAACAGAAGATAATGTGTCATTTTGGCATCATGCTGGATGCATGGCCACATTAGGCTTGTCATTTCAACTGAGTGCAGAGTCTATTGAGCACCTCTCTCTGCAGCAACTGGTGCCTACCACACTCTGGCATCTCTCCTGTGGGCTGTCAGATGGAGTGTACAATACAGGATTGCAGCCTACATTTCAGCAACTGAAACAGAAGAGAGGGTTTCCTATTGTATTTGCATAATGGAGGGAGGTTAAAGAAGTTCCGTGACTAGCAGATCATACCACTGGCACAGGTCACACAAGACGAATTGCGAGCGAGAACTCTGTTATTAACTGCAGGCATCGTTGGGGTCTGGGCTAGTGGCTCATGAAGGATTTAAATATGCATTTTCATAAGAGCAATTAAGCAACTGAAAAAGTAGGATGGTGTAATACGTATGTAAGCAAACTGCAAACTGACTCAAGGAAACCAAATTTACAGAAACGGATGGCAGAGAAATTGTAGCTGGGAAGTGTAGGTGAGTAGTGTGCTTGGAAGTCATGCATATGGGTAAGAAGGGGTGGCGGTTGGAGCAAGAGAAAATCAGTGTCTTTGATTTATAAAGAGAAGAAATTGTCTTTTAAGATTCTGAAATTCTCTGTGGTTTGAGCTGATGAGTGTGACCTTTCGGCCTACCCTTTCTTGTGGAAACTTTGTAACCCAGGCTGACACAAGCTGTTGTAGTATGTTAATTTTGACCTAGCTCTGCCACAAATACTAACCTTGATCTCTAAGACATTTTCACTAAGAAATATAGTCTTTTCAGATGTAGCTTTCAGAACTAAGTATCTCAATGACCTTTCTAATGAAGGTCAAAATTAAAAAAGAAAAAACCCGAAAAGAGAGCTAGGAAAGAAAAAGTGGTAAGGGGAAATGGGAATGCCACAGAGGCTGTTAACTGTGAGATTAGTATTCCAGGCACAGTCCTTTCTCCTTCATCCTTTTGGGAAGCTTTGTTTTTTAGAAGATTGTGGGAAGAGGTCAGCTGGAAGTTATCTGGAAAAAATTGAGTGGAGATGCATTCATAGAGAATGGGATGAGTTTGGAATCTCCCCTCAAGAAGCCAGGTGTAATTGTCAAAGATAGAAGAAAATGGGGAAAGCAGACCCACCCAGCAGGGCATGTTCTATGACACTGGGTCAACATTTATTTATTTGAGGGCTGACCACCACGGGTCACAAGCTCCAATGGCTACAAAAGTCAACCACATACTAGAAATGAGTGAAACAGAGAAGCAGGTGCTTCTGAGGGTTGTAATGAACTGGGAAAACAAGTAGTGGCTACTCATCCCAGGTTGATTATTGCTACATAGAGATATGGGCCAACTGTGTCTGTATCTTTTAACTTTTAAGGAGGGGACAGAAAAAAATATTTTAATATGAAATCTCCTGGCCAGGCAGTGGCTCACACCTGTAATTCCAGCACTTTGGCAGGCCGAGGCAGGTGGATTGCTTGAGGCCAGGAGTTCGAGACCAGCCTAGCCAACATGATAAAACCCCAATCTCTACTAAAAATAGCAGAAAAAAAAAAGAAAAGAAAGAAAATTAGCTGGGCATGGTGACACATACTCATAATCCCAGCTACTTGCAAGGCTGAGGCATGAGAATCGTTTGGACCCAGGAGGTGGAGGTTGTAGTGAACTGCAATTGTGCCACTCTAGCCAGGGTGACAGAGACCCTGTCTCAAAAAAAAAACAAAAAACTCCCAGTTTCTAAGTGTGGAAAACTAATGTAAATGTTTGAATTATTGTGTGGACTTAACAAATCTGACTATGAGCATGACACAGTCATACATATGTTCATTGGTTCTCACTGTGCTTTATGGCATTGGGGGCTGGCCTCCAGTTCTCTGAAATCTACGTGCTGCAGAGAGGCAATTCTTCTTCTGTGTATTCACAGATTTAGCGTTTGCTCTTAGTATATTTTGTGATTTAAGAGTTAAATAAGATTTTCCCTTTCTTATTAGTGACTCTCACTTCTCTGGTAAAGAAAAAAAAGTCAAAACATATGCAATATGGGTTCTATGAACTACGTGATTGAAAAGTGTTGAATGAGAAAGCATTTCTTGAAATGTCAATGTAATACATTTTTGTTTTTGGTTAAAGAAAGAAAGAACGTTTTTTGTTCTAGGGAAGGAATTCTTAACAATAGATTCACTCATGAGCTTCAGTTGGGATCCAAGCATGCTGAAACTGTACACAAAAATTTGCATGTAAATGGGTTCTCTACAATTCCATTTTGGAGGGAGTATGTAGCTTTCATTGGCTCCAGAAGTGAATTCATATCTCTGCCCGAATATTAGTATCCACTGTTCTAGGTCTTATTGATAGTCTTTACTTTTTTTTTTTTTTTCAGAAAAAATGTGAATTTTTTTTTGTTTTAACTGTATTGCTTGAGGGCTTTAGTTAGAAAAAAAAATAACAAGGAGCTCATTCATCACACCAATGGCATAAAATCTAGAATCATGCATTTGATCAATGTGCCAAGTTATTAAGACTATCATTAGTCAGCTATTTCTGAACAGATCAAATCAGTTTTCTAGAAATTTAAATAGATGTGCATGAAGTTTGATATACTGATACTTTTCTAGACTTTAGATTTTTAGGTCATGAACTAGGTAGATGCTTGTCATTCTTTTTAACTGCCCAGCATCTGAACCACCTTATCAGATTTTTAGAATCCATGGAATCAATTCAAAAAGTTAATAAATATTTCTGGCGAGAATGTATAGAATGGGAGGGAAATAGGAATCAGAAACCCAACTTTGAATCAGCTCAATGCATGATTGAATTGTGATATTCCCCCAAACTAACTTTCTTCAAGAAGCAACAGTAAATGCCCTCTGGAGAATTATAACATCATCCAGAGCATCAAGTTCTTTCAATATTTTCTTACACAAATGTCTAGTACTCAGAGTGAAAAATAACAAGATAGATAAGATAAAAATTGACCTAGAACCAAGAGGAATAAAATGGAAATAAGTCCACAGTTAATACAACTATTGGAGTACATTCATGCACCACATAACAATGTTTCAGTCAACAGTGGACAGCATATATGATGTTGGTCCCATAGGATTAAAAAGGAGATGAAAATTTCTCTTACTTGGTGATATTGTAGCCATCATAATGTTCTGGCATCATTGTGCAATTTTTAAAATAAATTCTGTATATTCTAAATGGACAGTGTTTATAAAATCTACAGTAGTATATAGTCATGTTCTACACCTTCACATTTACTGGCCACTGACTCCTTGACTCACCTAGAGTAATTTTGAGTCTTGCAAGCTCCTTTCATGGTAAATGTCCTATACAGGTATACTGTATTTCACATATTTTATACTGCATTTTTACTGTACCTTTTCTATGTTTATAGGCAAAAATACTTACCATTGTGCTATAATTGCCTACAATAACCAGTGCAGTCACATGATATATAGGTTTGTAGCTTAGGTGAAATAAGCTATGCTGTGTTGCCTGGGTGTGTAATAGGCTATACCTTCTAGGTTTGTGTAAGTATACTCCATGAGGTTTATGTGACAAAATCACCCAATGCCACATTTCTCAAAACATCCCTGTGTAGTTAGACTTAAAGTGAGTGTGATTAATATATGTTGCTGTAGTTACATGATAAGATATTCAGAAGAGAGTATAAATACACTCAGACTCAAATGAAAATTCTAGAACTGACAAATACCTAAAATTAAGAGATTTGTGGTTGTATTTAACTACAAGTTAGATTTAGTTGGAGAAGGAATTGTTGAACTGAAATACAGATCAAAAGAAAATATCCTGTCGAAAGCACAGAAAGACAATGGATTAAAAATGTCAGGGAAGAGATTTAGAGGCATATGGAATGCCAAGAGGTCTAACATATATGTAATTGGAATTACAGAAGAAAGAGAGGGAGGGAAGAGACAAAGAAGCAGAGAGAGAGAGACAGAGAGAGACAGAGAGAGACAGACAGAGAAGAAATATTTAATATTTACAGGAATAATGTCAGAAAAATTTCCAAATGAATGAAAAACATAAAGCAACAGTTTCAAGAGGTGATGTGATCTTGACACAGAATAAGTACAGAGAAACCACATAGAGATACGTGATAATAATACTGCTAAATACAAAAGATTAAGAGAAAAATATTAACAATGTTTAAGGAAGTCAGAAAATGTTATAATATATTTAAAGGAGAAAAAATAAGGCTGAGAGATGACTCAATCAACAGACATGATGCAAGACAGACCACAATGAATATTGTCTTCAAAGTGCCAAAGATTTCTATGTTTGCAAAAGCAGCATTTAAAAAGGGCAGAGCAGATAAGAACTTCTGCTTCCAGACAATATGGAGTAACAGGAACCGGATTTACTCTCTTACCTAAAGCAAACACAAAATAGGAAAAAATAAAGGAAACAAAAGTTTTGAAGACAGTGGCCATTGAGGCAATCAAAATGATGTCTGACAGATTTGAAGCAAATAAGGTAAACATTGCAGTTATCTCAAATTAATGCCAGAGAGACTTTCCAGCCCACAAGACAGAAAGGGGAGATCCTGAAAACTTAATGACAAGAAATCAAACTATCCAGTAAATAATGGGAAAAATATTTGAAAAGATTCTTCACCAAGGAAGATAAATGAACTGCAAATAAGTACATAAAAGCAGGCCCCCAACAGGCTGGTCCATAGCCTGTTAGGAATGGGGTCACACAGAGAGAGTGGTGGGCAAGTGAGTGAAGCCTCATCTGTATTTACAGCTACTCTCCATTACCAGCATTAGAGCTCCACCTCCTGTCAGACCAGCAGTAACATTAGATTCCCACAGGAGCATGAATCCTATTGTGAACTGCACATGTGAGGGATGTGAGTTATATACTCCTTATGAGAATCTAATGCCTGATGATCTGTCAGTGTCTCCCATCACTCCCAGAGGGACTGTCTAGCTGCAGGAAAACAAGCTCAGGGCTCCCACTGAATCTCTGTTATGGTGAGTTGTATAATTGTTTCATTATATATTACAGTATAATAAGAAGTGCACAATAAATGTAATGGGTTTGAATCATCCTGAAACCATCTCCCTCCTGCTCTGCACTCCCCGCACCCTCTGCCACCAATCCATGGAAAAATTGCCTTCCACAAAACTGATTCCTGGTGCTAAAAGGTTAGGGGCCACTGCATAAAAAGGTACTCAGTACGATTAATTATTGGGTAGGTAATTATTAAACCACAATTATATATTTCTACAAACCTATTAGAATGGCTAAAACTAAACCAGGTGACCATATCAAGTGTGGGCAAAGACATTGAGGGATTGCAACTCTCATACACTGCTGGTGGAAAGTAAAATGATGTAACCACTGTGGAAAAGTTGGATGTTTCTTAAACAGTTAACATATACCTCCCACATGAATCAACCATTTGATAATTACATAAGAAAAGTGAAAGCATGTGCTCATATAAATATGTAAACACAAATGTTCAGAGAAGTTTTCTTTGTATTAGCTCTAAACAACTCAAGTGTCTGTGAAAAAGTAAGTGGATACTTTGTAATATATCCATACAATGGAATATTATACAGCAATGCAAATTAGTAAACTATAACAAAATGGATGGTCTTAAAGTAATTTTATTGAGTGAGAGGCCAGACCAAAACAAAATTATTTACTCTATAGTTACATGCACATAAAATTTTAGAAAATGTAAACTATTGTGACAGAGACAGATTAATTGTTGCTTGGGAGGTGCAGGAGAGAGAGATTACAATGAGGCTCAAGAATACTTGAGATTGATAGATTCACTCTCTTAATTATAGTTTCACACGTGTATTACATAAGTCAAAACATCAAATTGCACAATATATACTGAACATGTTCAGCTTTTTTATCAATTATATCTTAAGCTGTTACAAAATGAAGCCAAAATAATGACACATTAAAATAATAATAATGAGAGAATTCTTTATCAGCATACCTGAACTATAGAAAACACAAAAGGAAAAGGAAAATTGTTTTAGAATGGAACAGAGAGATGTAAGAAAGAATAAGGAAAAATGAAGAGTGTAAATACATGGATAAATCTAAAACAGTAATGATGGATTAAAACAATAAAATAATATCTTTAGCTATTTAAGATATCTGTCACAATACAGATAAACAGTAAGTCAAAGATGGGAGAGAGTAAATGAACATAAAAAGTTCTAAGCGCCTTTCATTGTTTGGGAAGTGGTAAATTATAGTAGAGTCGAATAAGTTAGTGATGCATATTATATTCTTTAAGACAATATGGAATAAAATAGTAAATATATGAGAAGAAAAAATAATAATAAATTATTTCAGTGAAAGCAAGAAAGAGTGAAAATGGGACACAGAACAAATGCAACAAGCAGAAAACAAGTACGAAAATTGTATACTGAAAACAAGATATATCATTAATACTTCATTTAAAAATCAAAGATAAAACTGGATAAAATAGGCTATATAGAGCAACAACATCTAGCTACATTGAGTTTATGTAAACACTGAAAGTAAAGAGATGGAAAAAAACATACCTCTTATCCGCTAACTGAAGAAGGCTTGTGTTATTATAATAATATACAGTAAACACCTAGGTTAGAAATACTGTAGATAAGAAGAACATAAAGGTGTCATTCCACCTAAAACACAGAACAATTCTACATTAGTATGTGTTGAATAATTTAGCTTCAAGATATGTGAAACAAAAATTGAAGGAAGTAAAAGTAGACAAAGTAACAATCTTAGAGGGAAAATTTAACACACTTCTTTTAGTAATTGATAGTACAAGAACACCAATGGTTAATAAGTATATAATAAATTTGAGCATATATTTAACAAATGTGAGCTAATTGACATACATAGAAAAATTATAAATTGTACCCAAAAACTTGTTTTCAATGAACAGGGGGAAATATTAAAAACTGATCACATGCTGGGCCACAAAGCAAGTTTCAAAACCTTATAGATGATTAGAATAATGAAGAGTATGTTTTTTGGAAATGCTGGAATTAGATTAAAAATCAACAACACGAAGAAATATAGAAAAACCCTTTATATTTCAGAATTGGGTAACACAAACTTCTAATAAATTGATAAAGAAGAAATTACAGTAGAAATTAGAAAATACTTTGACTAAATAATGATGAAGATATGTGTTTTAAAAATTGTGAAATGCACCTACCTAAAGTTATGTTTAGAAGAAATTTTATTACACCTGTAATTCCAGCACTTTGGGAGGCCGAGATGGGCAGATCACCTAAGGTCAGGAGTTCGAGACCAGCCTGACCAACATGGCAAAACCCTGTCTTTACTAAAAAATGCAAAAATCAGCTAGGTGTGGTGGTGGGAGCCTGTAATCCCAGCTACTCAGGGGGCTTAGGCAGGAGAATCACTTGAAACCAGGAGGCAGATGTTGAGGTGACACAACTGCACTCCAGCCTGGGCAACAAAGTGAGACTCTATGGAAAAAAAAAAAAAGTTTATTGTTTTAAATATATATATTACAAAAGAAGATAGGTTAAAAATAAGTGACCTAAGACATGCATTTTCAACTGGTGTAATTTCATCTAGGGCACAAAAATTAGTGAAAAAATTCTCATTCTTTTCATACACGAAGCACAGGCAGATGTACAGTACATAAACATATATATCCTAGTATTTAAATTTGAAAAGGAAGCCAATTAAAAAAAAGCATGTCTAAAGAGTTTCTCAGGGGGCAATAATAAAAATAACTTGAGAAACACTTTTAAATACATGCATGTTAAGAAATTTCAAAAAGAAAAGCAAACACAAAGAAAAGTAGGGCAGAAATAATCATAGAAAGTAGCAAAAATTAATAAAATAGAAAACCAATGAACCAGTAGGAAAATAGAGGATTTGAAATGCACTGCAAACCAACTAGATTTAAACAGTCATCTATAGGACACTCCACCCAACAACTGAATACACATTCTTCTCAGGTGCACACAGAGTATTCTTCAGGATAGACCACATCCTAGGCTGTAAAGCAAATGTCAATACATTTAAAAGAGTTTAAAACATACGATATATGTTCTCCAGTCATAATGGAGTGTAATTAGAAATCAGTAACAGAAAGAAATTTGGGAAATTCACAAATATGTGGAAATTGAACAGTACACTGGGAGCAAAGTTGGAAGACTCATATTTACTGATTTCCAAACTGAAACAAAGTTATTATAATCAAGACAGTGTGATATTGATGTAAGGATAAACATACAGACCAATGGAGTAAATTGGAGAGTTCAGAAATAAAATGGTGTAACCACTTTAGAAAATGGTGTGCACTTCCTCAAAGGTTATACATAAAATTGCCATATGGCCCTTCAATTCCACTCCTAGGTATACGCTCAAGAGAATTGCAAACAGTCCACACAAGCCTGCTAGTATCGTTCATACTAACATGATTCAAAATAGTACCAAATTGGAAACAACTCAAATGCCCATCAACTGATCCATGAATAAGTAAAATTATAATGGAATATCATAAATATCATGTCCATAACAGGGAATTAAGTACTGATATATACTATAACATGAATAGATCTTAAAGAAAATTATTCTAAGTGAAAGAAATCACACTTAAAAGACCAAATATTATGTGATTTTGTTTTTACAAAATGTTTAGAATAGGCAAATTTATACAGAAAGATTAGTTGTCTCCTAGGGCTGGGAACATTAGTGGAAAATGAGGAATTATTTTCTTTATCTGCAGAGGTAAAAATGTTCAAAATTAATTGTGATGATGGTCGCACAACTCTGTGACTGCACTACAGATCATTCAATTTGTATACTTTAAATGGATCAATGGTTTGGTGTGTCAATTATAGCTTCATAAAGCTGTTTCTATTTTTTAGGGTAATAGAGTTTCTATGTAGTTCTTTTGAGGCATTTGCTCTTGATATCTGGTTGCCACATTGCAAGGAAGTCAAAACTAGCTACTTTAAGAGGCCACATGTAGGTGTTACAACTGACAGCTGTACTAGGGTCCATCAATTTCTGTACTACTGAGTGCAACAGCCTTCAAATTACTTCATCCTTCGAGTCTTCCCAGTGGAGCTCAATACATTGTGCAGCAGAGATGCCATCCCCATTGTACCCTCACTGAATTCCTGACCCAGATAATTTGTGATCATAATAAAATGGTTGCTATATAACAAAAGAAGAAGAAAGAAAAGGAAATCAATGTATATTAGAGGTGTTACTAATGTCAAACTTAGGCTATGTGTAAATATTTGCCACTTTCAAAACTCATGTTGAAGTTTAATTGCCATTGTAACAGTATTAAGAGGTGGGACCTTTAAAAGATGATTAGGCATTAGACTACAACTGGTGAGAGCTGCTCTGTGGGCTGAGTCTGGCACAGCCTTGGATGGGGAAAGGTATTTGAGGCCTTTGGGGCCCAACCTCTTGCTCTGCATGTCCAGAGGTGGGACATGGAGTCAAGGAAAATAATTCTGGAGCCTTAAGATTTAATGTTATGCATCCTGTGGGTTTGGAACTTACTTGGGATCAGTTACTCTCCCAAAGCTTTTTTTTTTTTTTTTTTTTTTTTTTTTTTTTTTTTGCTTAGATATCTATATTGGAATGGGAATGTCTATCCTAGGCTTGTTCCACTATTGTGCTTTAGAAGTAGGTAACTTATTTTCCAGCCTCACAGCTGCAGGGGAATTTGCCTGAGGATGAATTGTACCCTGAGTCTAATGCATATCTGATTTATATGAGACTCTGGACTTTGAACTTATGAGTTGGTGCTGCAATGACTTAAGATTTTTGGACCTTGGGTTGGAATAAATGTATTTTGTATGTGAGAAGGACATGAGTTTTGGGGGTCAGGGGTAGAATGCCATGGTTTGAATGTTTGCTTCCTGCAAAACTCATGTTGAAATTTAATTGCCATTGTAACAGTATTAAAAGATGGAAGCTTTTAAAGATTGTTAGGCCATAGCTTCACACAGGGGCTTTCGGGCATAGATATTTTCTCCTTTTCTCTGCCATGTGTTGACACAGCAAGAAGGACCATGTCAGATGCCTGCACCTTGATATTGGATTTCCTAGCCTCCAGAACTGTGAACCA